TTTTTGACTCTCTTCAGCAAAACTACGTGCGTGAAATTAATGACAACTTTGCTAACTTCTACATCATTTTAAATGATCTTTCTTTAGAATGGGCACAAATATGGATCTCTTCCAGTCACTTGACCAGGTAGCTTTCAAGACGATTGGCATAGGTGAGTGTCTGAGTACTTTAAGGGTTACTTCTATTTATGGAACCATTTCAAGAGGTATTTAATTAATTCCTGAAGCCTGTTTGGTTTTTGGTTTTTGTTTTATTGCTGGTCTTCAGTGCAGTTAGGACTTTATTCTTCAATATCATGGATTCTTCCCCATCTACTGCCATCCGAGATGATTAAACATCTATCACTTCTCCTTGGGGCAGTGACTCTGTGTATCCCTTCTATCCTCTGATGATTTCTGCATTGATCAATATTTTAGCCATAGGCTCCTTTAATATTACAACTCAAGGCTTGGATTTTTCTTTTGATTTTCAGTTTAACAAATTCTGAGCACGTTTTAACCTTTTGACTTTCTAATTTCAGGTATTTGCACATTTAAAAAAAATTAATTTTGGTCAACTTGAGTCGTCTTTGATAGCTTCTGTTCTTCTATTTTACATTCTAATTTCTTCCAATCACTTTAACTACTCTACTTTCAAGAGTAAGTTTTCAAAACTTTTCCTACACGTTTTTTCTCACCTACTTTTATAATAACCATTTGCTTTCTTCATGTATGATGTTCTTGATTTTATATCACAACTCATCTGGTCTTCAGTCATTAGTGTTCAGTGTATCAAATTTGTTCTTGTGATGAACTTTAATTTCAGGTGGAATATACTCAATATCTTATTTTTTGCTCTCATGGTTTGTCTTAAACTTTTTCAGCTTCCACTTACACTTGCTTATGAGAAACTGATGGTATATTTCACAGTAAACCTCTGATCTTGTTCTGGATGGTAATATCATGTTTCTCCATGATTTCTTTTCAGAGATGTAATTGATTTGATTTCTGTATTTTCTGTCTGGTGGTGTCTGTATGTATAGTTTTCATTAATGTGGTGCTAAAATGTATTTGCAGTGAATATATTGTTAGTCTTGCATAATCCTGTCATATAATCTCTGGCAATGTTTTCATCTCCAAGGATAAATTATCCAATATGGATTCTTCTTTGTTTCTACATTTCACCTTTCAATCACCAGTAATGATCAATGCGCTTTGATGTCATGTTTGATCAGTTTCAGATTGCTGCATTTGGCAAACATCTTTCATCTCTTTATCTTTAGAAGTAATGATGGTGTGTATAATAGTTGCAGTAGCTTGTATATAATGTATGACTACTATCTTATGATTGACAGCACTGTCCTTTAAGATAGACCTTGAATTTCCTTTCTGACAATGAATGTCATGCCATTTCTCTTCAATGTATCATTCTGGATTAGTAGACTACACATTTGTTTAATTCAACATGGAAAACGTTACTCTACTTCAGTTCACTAATGCCTTCCATATCAAATTTCTCTCTATTCATTTTGTTCAAATTTGACGACTTCCAATTTTCTTAGATTCATACTTTACACATTATCATTGGATGTTTACAACTGCTTCTCCTTATTTTGAATCTTGCCACTTCAGCAAATGAAGATCCCGTGAGCATTCTTCTAGCCACACCTTTAAGACTGACTGTAATTTAAGGAGGCAGCTCCCAGTAGTATTTTGAGTGTCTTTTAAATTGAGCACGAAGTCCTATTGACACAATAGTCTAAGTGTTCAACTTTGAGTGAAAAGTTGCAATTTTAAACCCACCAGCCCCTCCATGAAATAAACATGAAGTTGTCTACCACTGTAAACATTTATAATCTTGAAAATCCCATGGAACAGTTCTACTTGGTCCTAAAGAGTCACTATGAGTTAGAAAAAACTGGAAAGCAATAGGCATAACTTGAGGAACTCATATTCCAGCACTTTATCAGACAATGTTACTGCTATTAATAAGTTTTTCACTGGACAGTTTTATTTTTAGAAGTAGATTTCCAGGCCTCTCTTCATAGTCTATCTTGGTTTGGAAGTTCTGCTGAAACCTGTCCACTCTGGGTGTCCCCAGTGGTATTTGAAATAGAAGTGACAAAGCTTCCTGATCACAGAACAATGCAAACCACTTAAATAAGAGGAGGTACCCAAAATAAACCAGAAATGTTTTCTCCAACACCATGTATTTAAATTCTTTTTACGAAACAACCTTATCACCTTCGAAGTCATCTCCATTACACTTAATACATTTATCAAATCTGCGATTCCATTCTTAGAAACATGTTTTAAACTCATCTGTCTGGTTGGCTGAAAGTTCCCCCTTTTTTATAGCCTCTTCTCTGTCATCAAATTGTTGTCCTTTCATGGCCTTCATCATTATTAGCAACAAAAAGAAGTCTCATGGAGCGAGGTCAAGTGAGTCAGGTGCATGGGCAAAGAGAGACATGCTGTTTATTGCCAAAACTTGCAGCACTGAGAGGACTACCTAGTGGCAAACCCAGCTCCCTATCTGCCGCAAATCAGGCCTTTTTTGTCCCACACTGTTAAGCAATCTTTTCAGAACTTCTAGAGCAGCGGTTCTCAACCTGTGCATGGCGACCACTTTGGAGGTCAAACGACCCTTTCACAGGGGTCGCCTGATTCATAATAGTAGCAAAATTATAGTTATGAAGTAGCAATGAAAATATTTTTGGGGGTGGGCGGGGGCTGGCGGTCACCACAACATGAGGAACTGTATTAAAGCGTCGCGGCATTAGGAAGGTTGAGAATCACTGCTCTAGAGAGAAAGCTTGATTAACAATCTGACCTGGTGGAACAAACTCCAAATGCGCTATCCCCCTCCCATAAAAAATCAAATGAGCATCATCTTGATCTTTGATTTCACTTGATGAGCTTTTTTTGGGTGAGGTGATGATGGCATCTTCGAGTGGTTGGATTGATGTTTGCTGTCAGTGTCGATAGAATAGCGCTATACCTCATCTCCAGTAACAACATTGGAAAAAAGTCTGGGGCTCTTTGGGTCTGTTCTTTAGTATGTTTCCAGTTGACTCTCTTTATCCTTGTCATTCAGAGCACGAGGCACACGTTTCACAATGACCCTTCTCATTCCCAAATCTTCCATTAAAATTTGCTGAAATGAGCTCCAATATAGTCCATCTCTTCAATGGTCTGTCATCAGTCTTTGAAGACATGTGTATACATTTTCTTGAAATTTTCATCCATTTGGGAAGTTGACGGATATCTAGAATGAGGTTGGTCATTAATCGACATTTCACCTTTTTTGAAACAAGAAAACCACATATACAGTTGAGTTTTCCCAAAGCACTATCCTTGCAAGCTGTGTTCAACATCACAACAGTTTCTACAGCATTTTTCCCAAGCAGGAAATAAAATTTCACAGCCACATGCTGTTCTCTTAAATCCACCATCGTAAAAATACGAAGTTCAAGTGAAACTGCCTTTATGAAAAATTCACCGTGACCAGAAAGAACCTTTCCAGGTGACCCACTGGGTGCATTAACTCAGAGTGAGTTGCTTGATGCTCACCTAGTGGGGAAAAGGCTGCCAAAAATTGCATATTCTGTTTTCTCTCCAAGTGGTGCTTTGAATCTACCCATATCAGGTAGTGTCTAACTATACCAAGCAGAATCTTTTATCTGATTTTTTTTGGCCTCATATGTGTGAAGTTGCTGTAGTATGGAAGAAATTAAGATGTATATGCTCCTGGGTCCTTAATCTGTGAACTTCTGTTGGGAGTAAGAAGAGCTTCTGTTCTGTAGGAAATCAGGAAACAGACGGGGTCTAAGTTATAGAGCTATGTATGTTCACTTGGTTATAGGTTGATGAGCTAATACATGTTACCTAAAACCAGTTACTGAATGGTATTTTGATGAGTTATAACAATACTAGAAATAAATACTATGGACTTTAGATTTGTAGTGTTTAGATTTGATGTCAACTTTCACTTGGATAAACGTAGAGGAGTAGAGTCCAACCTATCAATCAGGTAACAGCCTGATGATCCCTCCTTACCGGTATGCCCTTTTTATAAGAGACTATGGAAATCTCTCTATATAGAAAGGTATCTTGCCCTTTACCTTCCTGCTTGCGTGGCTTCTGTGTCTACCTCCAGGGGTCACTCCATGTGGGCTTCCCACACTGGGGACTGTGATTGCCCTGACATCTCCTCCTCAGCCATGGATCTACGCCACTCTGCACCCACTGCCTGTCATCTGCGGTTCCTGATTCACCTTTCTGCTTCATTGGCCTGCAGCCACATGAGTCTAAAGGCCAATGAAGCCTCAAACCCACAGACTTGAATTTGACTAGGGTGTCTTCTTACTATAAAATTACTTCTTGATATAAAGTTCTTTCTTACACATTTATGATCGTCCCTAGTTTTGTTTCTTTAGACATGTCAGCCTAACATAGACATTGATATGCTAAAGATAAACGCTAAATGTAAGAGTAAGTTCTAAGTGAGTAAAATACAGAGAATAGCACTGCAGTCAATAGACTCTAAAAAATGAGATAAAAACCACATTTGATTAATTTGACAGAAGAAAAAATGCTTAAAATGTAGAAAACAATATTAACTTTGACAAAAATATAATTAAAGACAGAAAACATAACTAGTGATAAAGAGGAACATTTCATAATTAAAAGGTAAAACCAGAGAGAAGAAACAAACTGCTGACAGTTATATGTACTTATCAACATGGCTCTAAATTATGTAAGATGACATAAATTTAGAACAGATTTAGATGACTACTAAAACAGAATTTGGAGGATATACTTTTTTTTAATCTAACACAGAGAACATTCATTAAAATTTACTTGCTTGGTAAATTTTCACTAAATCCACAATGCTTAAAAACAAAAATGCAGTGTCCCCAGCAGGACTGGCTGGAGTGGGAGGGAGCTAAGCATCTCAGGCAGCGAATGAGATGTAGCGCAGAGCCTTCCTCCTCTTTGCCCTCCGGGGGCTCACTTCCATGGTGGCCCCAAAGAAAGACAAGGTGAACAAGGGTGGCCCCAGGCAGCAGTGTGCTAAGTGGGCCTGGGGGACCTCCACCCCCAGAAGCAAGGACTGCTGCGTGAGTTTCCACAAGGGCACCTGCGGGACCCAGACCCTGCACATCCAGTGCAGAGTTCCCTGCAACTGGAAGAAGGAGTTCGGAGCCCACTGCAAGCACAAGTTTGAGAGATGGGGCGGGGCCTGTGATGGGGACTCAGGCGCCCTGAAGAAGGCGCTGTATAACGCCCAGTGCCAGGATACTATCCTCGTGATGAAGCCTTGCACCCCTCTCCAAGACCAAAGCCAAGAATGGAATGGAAAGGACTAGAGCTAGGCCTGGCCTCTGCCTCCTGAGAAGATATAACCCTTCATTCCACTCGTTAGCTTTATCAATCACCCCTACCCCCGAAACACCCACACAGTGGAGAGTGACTAGGGTTTCTGGAAAGCTCCTCCCAAATGGATTTCACTTATACAAGCGCCTCCCCAAACTTTGTACTTCACTACCATGGCGCCACCCCCCAAAATGAAATAAGGAAAATCAAACAACAGCCTTTTTCATTGCTGTACAAAATCTCTTAAACGTGTTAAAAAGCAAAGATGTCACAACTTTGATGATTAAGCATGCCCGAACGAAGGCATGGCCTTTTCAATCACCTCATACACACGTCAAAGCGGAACAGTGAACAAGGAAGACCAAAGAGGAACAGGTGCTTTTGAATGATGATGCAGGTAGAGAGGATTGTGTACAGGATGACAGTAAGAAACCCAGCCGGATCCGTCATCCTGAGTGCTCCTGAGAATCAAGGCTGGCGAAGCGTCTGATGTGTTTTGTTCATGTTATCAGGAGGAGTCCTATCCTGGAGAATCACATCATGCTGGGTAAAATAGAGGATGAGCAACCAAGAATAACCTTCTCAACAAGATGGACTGGTGCAATGGCTTCCCCAGGACTGAAGGTGGCACCCATCCAGGCAGCGTTTCTTTCTGTTGGACTACAAATTGCTACCAGTTGCCAGTGACTTTTAGGTACATGACAAGAAGCAGGATTTTTTCTCTCTGTTCCAACTGCCTGGATTCAAGTGTTTGCTCTGATGCTTCTTGATTATGCAACTTTGAACAATGTAATTAACTTTTGGGGTCTCTGTTACTTCATGTTTTAAGAGATCATTATAAGAAACAAAATAAGAAAACACACAAACAAACAAAACCACACACAGCCTTTGATTCAATTCTGACTCCTAGTGACACGTCAGGACACATAGAACTGCTTTATCGTGTTGCTAAGGCTGTAAATCTTACAGAAGCAGACAGCCTCAGCTCTCTCCCATGGGATTCAAACTGGATTCAGACTACAGCTTAACCCGCTACACCACAAGGGCTCCTTTATATTACTAATACTACCTACATAATAAAGCTATTGGGAAGATTAAATCAGCTGCCTATGTTAAAGTCTTGGTATTATTTCCGGCCTATGGGCACTCTTCAACAATAGCTTTCATTTCTTCAAAAATAACACTTTATCTTTTGTAAAAGATATAAATAAGTAAATAAAATCTAAACTATCAAGTGAAAACAGATTTATTAAAGAAGAACTTCTTGGTGGGAATTGCTTTATGAGTATGAAAAGCTTTCATAAACCTGTATTAACTAAAACAGTACAGCATAGATACAGGAAAAGGAAAATAGATCAGAGGAACAAAATGGAAAACCCAGAAAGAGGCTGGAGCTTCTATAGGAATTTGCCATAAGAGCAATTAGCCTTTACAAATAGGTAGGGATGGATGTTTTAGATTTGGGACCATTGGCTTTCCACATGAAAATAAATATACCCCTACATTGCTATATTATATGCAAAATAAAACCCAGATGGAATAAATACTAAATGAGGGGGGAAAAACCCTAAAACTCTTAGAAGAAAATTTATGTGACTATCTCAGTAACCTGCAATGTAAAAACGAATTTCTTAGACCAAAGCACGCATTCAAAAGTTGGAAAGACAAAGATTGATATATCTGACTCAAAAAATTTTAATTCTATGCAAACCAAAATGACATTAACAATTTCAATATGAATGACAGACCAGTAGAAAATATTTGCAGTACATAATTTCCAAGGAATAATATCCATGAGTATTAACACATCCTGTGTCAAGAAACAGCTTGTTCAACAGATCTCAGGTGGAAAGAATTGAAGAAAAATTCAAGTTTCAATTTAAAAAATTGAAGCATTTCATGGTCAAAATATTGAACAATGCAGGAAGCATCCAAAAAAAAGTTGGAAGAAATATGCAGATAATTGTATGAAAAAGAATTGTCAATGTTCAAATATTTCAAGGAAAAGCATATGATTAAGAACCAACAGTATTGAAGGAAGGAATCCAAGCTGTACTGAAGGCATGATCAAAAAACAGGATTCTAGAAATTAATGTAATATCAGTTGAAATGTTTTAACAAGCTGATAAAGCACTTGAAGCCCTCATTTTTCTATGACAAGAAAATTGGACAGCTATTTGGCCAACTTACTGGAAAAATCATATTTGTGCCTATGCCAAAGAAAAGTGACTCAGCAGGATGCAGAGGTTAAAGCACAGTCTCATTAATTCAAAAGTGGTTGCAGCGGTACACTGACATGGAGTTGCCAGAATGTCAAGTCAGACTCAAAAGAGGATGTGACATGGGGAGTAGAATTCCTGAGGTCAGATGGATCTTAGCTGAAAGGCGAGGATACGATAAACATGTTTAGTTGTGTTTTATTAACTATACAAAGGTGTTCAATGGTGCGGGCCATAACCAATGATGCTGTAGGGAACATTGAGAAGAATGATAACACTTCATTGTATTTCCGTTAAATCTGCATTTGGACCAAGTGCAGTTCTTTGAACAGAAGGGAAGACTGCATTGTTTAAAATTTGAAAGGTGTAGGCCAGGTTGCATCTTTTCACCATGATTATTCACTTTGTATGCTGGATAAACACTCTGAGAAATGAAACTACATGAAGGAAAAAGGATCATGATTTGGGGAAGATTTATTAACAACCTGTGTTATCCAGAAAACACAACCATGCTGGAGGATAGCAAACATTTACTGATGAGAGTTAAAGGCTGCAACCTTTGGCATGGATTACTACTCAATGTGAAGAAAACAACAGTCTACACAACCAGACCAATAGACAACATCATGCTAGACAGAGCAAAGTTTTAATTTGTCAAATGTTTTGTCTTCCTTGGATCCACAATTGATGTTCATGGGAACAACATTCAACCACAAACCAATGATGTTTTTATTGGGCAAATTTACTTCCTAAGACTTATTTGAAAGAGTTGACGGGCAAAGAAAAGATGCCACATCGAGAACTCTGGTGCCTGGGTAATTTTCAATCGCTTCATATGTTTGTCAATGTTAGGCAATGAAAAAAGAAGATTGTAGAAGGGTTGATGCATTTGCCCTATGGTGTGGTTAGCTAGTCAGAGGTTGGCAAGGGGAGAACAGGTGATGCTGGCAAGAATCTGGGAGGAATCTTAACGCCAAGAAGAGTGGGGGACACATCTCTGGATAGACCTGTCCATCACAAAAGGAGGTGAAGGGCAGATAAGACATTTCCCTCTCAATGGAAGAGACTGGAGATAATGAGATGGCCAGCAGAAGAAAAACAGAAGGTTCACATCACACACACACACACACACACACACACACACCCCACCATACTGGTTGAATAGACTCTTGAATTCGGGGTTGAGACTAGAGCACAGCACAAAGTCCGTGGTGCCGGGGTGCTGCGATGCACACACCTGGAAAGAGAAGATTCACAACCAAGGACCAGCCAATAGCAGAAGATCCACCAGAAAGCCTGCCTATGGTGGAAAGTTCTCTTTTCGCTGAATACAAGGTCTAACATTACATTTCTCCAGGTCTTTTTCACTTGCTAAGAACCCTTTGGACTTCTTTTCCAAAATATCCCTTTTAATAAATGTATTCTTTCTGTTCAAACCACTTCTATGACTCTGGTCAGAATTTTGTCCCTCACCTGAAATCTCTCTTGTGATGGGACAAGAATCAAGTCGTAGATAAGCTTAAAATTTTGAGCCTCCTTCAGGTAACAGTGTTGGTGAAGAATATTGAAAATATTTTGCTACAAGAACAGAAAAATCTGTCTTGGAAAAAGTACAGCCAGAATGCTCAGAAGTGAGGATTATGAATACCTTGGACATGTCAGACAGAGAGACCAGACTTTGGAAAAGGCCATCAAGCTTGGTAAGCAAAAAAGAGGAAGACCTTCAATGAGATGGGTTGATAGGTAGCAACAACAATGGGCTCAGACATAACTAGTAGTAGGATGGTGCAGGACCAAGCAGTGTTTCCTTCTGTTTACAGAGGCTTGCTACAACTTGATAGTCCCGAACAACAATATGTCACTAAGTAAAATAATCTAATAAATGCAGGTCAAGAATGTAAATGAGTAATGCATTATAGCATGAACCAACATAAGGGAAGATATTCAACTATGCCAGTAATCAGATGAATAAACATGAAAGTAGCAAAGTGCCATTCTACAATCAATTTAAAAAGCAAAACTCATGGGCAGCAAGTCCATTATGATTTGTAGTGTTTCTGAGGACAGGGTAGAACTGCTCTGTGGGTCTCTGAGATTGTAACTCTTTATGGAAGTAGAGAGCCTCATCTTTCTAGCAGCAGCAAATTCAGTCACTGCCATTGAGTTGATTCTGACAGTGCCCTTATTCAAGGTCTCTGAGGTTGTAACTCTTTATGGGATCAGAGAGTCTCATCTTTCCCACATGAAATATTCCATTCATTTCTGGACCCTTGTTTTTGGTTCAGGCTTCAGTGCATCTTGAACTTCTTCCCTCAGCACCATTGGTTCTTGCTCATATACTATTTCTTGAAATGGTTGAATGTCAACTAGTTCTTTTTATCACTATGACTATATGCTTTCCATTTTTTTGATGCTTTATGCATTTTCAATATTTTGCCCATAGTGTCTTTCAATAGTGCAATCTGACGCTCAACTTTTTTCTTGTTATTTCTGTTTAAAATATGCTGAGTTTGTTTTTCCTTTCAGATTTTCTGACTCCGGGTCTTTTCACCTTTCATTGGAATATTTTGTCTTCTTGTGCTGCCCTGTGATATTTTTCTTCAGTTCTTTGGCTTCATCATTTCTTCCACGTGTCTTAGCTACTCTCAGAGTAAGAGCAAGTTTCAAAGGCTCTTCTGACCCACTTTGATCTTTCCTTTCTTTCCTGTCTTTTTAATGATTTATTGCTTTCTTTGTGTATGATGAAAAAACATCATATGTCATCTCACAGCTCA